TCAACACGCCTCCAGGGACGACGACGACGCGGATGATGATATGCTGCCTTTCTGCACTCCTTTGCACTTGGCCGTTAAGCACGGCAATGCCGATGTTGTGGCTTGGCTTCTTGATAATGGCGTCGACATTGACGCTGCTTCGTACCGGCTGTGTGAGTGTCGGCCCATGAAATTCGAGCGCAACCCTCTCAGGCGACTTAACGAGTATCCACGGTGGCGCGCCCTTCATACCGCCATGTGCTCTGGAGAACGCGCCATCGCCGAGCTTCTGATTCACCGTGGCGCATCCCTCAACCTCGACGCTACACCGAGCCACAAGGTCACGGCGCTGCATCATGCCGCTGCCCATGGAATGGTTCCCATTATCAAGCTGCTGGCGCTAGAGAACGTCGATCTCGACATCAACCAGCGGGATCGGTACGATAACACTGCCCTCCATTACGTTGCGGAACTCTTCAGTCCTCGCGACTCTGCAGACATCCGGGACACCATCACCAAGCTTCTGGCGTTCGGTGCCGATCTCGAGGCACACAACGAGCGTGGTTACACACCGCTGCTGAATGCCTGCTTCAGGGGCAACTTTGCCGTGGCACACAGGCTGGTGAGCATAGGAGCCAACGCCGAACCCCATCGCACCGTTCGCAAGTTCAGAGACGTCCGGCCTTTGTACTTTTGCATCCTTCCCCGGCACGAGTTCTTTGAGCTCGACCATGCACCTGTCAAGCATGACGAGTTTGAAGGCAATCGGATAGCTCTCATCAAGGCGTTGGCTGAGAACGGCGTGCGCGTAGATGCCCGATACGACAAGCGCGGACATCGAGACGCAACGGCCTTGATGTTTGCTTGTGAACTTGCAGAGCCCAGGGCCGTCGCTGCCATCATTCAGGCCGGAGCCAACACCAATGCCCAAGACAGAGCCGGCAGGACTCCCTTCTACTATGCTACTTCGATTAGGGTCGACCATCGTGGAGAGGTCCCGCAGATTGCCTGCACTTTGCTTCAGCACGGAGCGCGGATGGATCTCGAAGAAGAACCAAACTGCAGTCCTCTCGATTGGGCAGTGATGCAAGTGAGGTGGTCAGAGGACAAGATACTCTATTACATGCTCAAATATGCGACTCGAGTCAACGTGACCAAACCGAAGCTCAAGGCTGCCCTGAGAAAGTGCGCGTCGAGCGGGAATCACAAGGCCATGAAGCTGCTGATGCATTTTACTCACAAGTATTTCGACATCACCGACGAGGACATCAAGGATTACATAAGCTTGATCATGGGACAGTCTGATCCGTGGAATCAAGTTGAGACCTTTGAGACCATCCTGGATTGTGGTGGCCGCCGGGTCTACACCAACGAGATGCTTCTCTTCATGACCATCCAGCGAAGAAACAGAGATCTCACCATGGCACTGCTGAACAATCGCTTCGTCTGGGTCAGCGAACCTAGGTTTCAGTGCAATCAGACGTTCTTGCATCTGGCAGCCCAATGGGGCGAGGGTGAGATTGTGAGGGCCCTGCTTGAGAGGGGCGCCGATGTCAATGTCTTTGATGCTGAACTCAGAACGCCCTTGACAATTGCAACAACCGAAGACCATTACGACGTTGCGGCATCATTGATGAAGGAGGTTGCCGATCCCCACCTTCAGCCATCGGATGAGTTATTCAAGGCGACGGTTAAGGAGCAGAATGACGGCAACGATGACGAAGAGCTTGAAGACGAATGGAGGTACATGAAGCGCAATTATCTCACAGCATTCGACATCGCCATCAGGGACAGCAGATTATGCATTCTCGACGACATGCTCGCGCGTTTCACTCTACCCAAGATCTCACACAAGAACATCAAGAATAATTACATGCATCGGGCCTGTCAAAACCCCAACAGGAGAATTTTGGAGGTTATTTTGTCCAGGAAGATCGATGAGGCTGCTGGTGCCCGTTGCCTACACACGATCCTGCGCGATATATGGGATAAACGGGTGGTGCGAGAACACTCTTTGAACCATCTCGAGACGGCCAAGCTCCTCATCGACAGGATTGAGAATCTCACCAATCCGGTCTGGGCACTTATTGCTGAGATCGCTTACTACAGCGGCCCAGACCCGTGGCAGTACGAAATTCGAACCTTGCTCATTGAGGAGCTGAGGATCGGGGTCTCACAGGGCCCGAATGAGCCGCATCTGTCCATCATGCTTCTACAGAGGGGCGGGGAAACGGAGTGAACAAGTTTGCTTCTTTAAATCGTTTTTCTTTACTACAACTATTTTCTGGCTTTATTTTTGGGATCTCTGGACACGGGCTTTTTTGCTTGATTTTTGCAAGCTATGGATGGTATTTAAGGAGAAACACAAGAATGGGATTTGGGAATGGGACGGGGCGAGATGGAGGTACAAACGGACACCACGGTTTTTTTTCTTCTTTTCTTCTTTTTTTCTTTTCACATTGGTCGAGCTCTGACAGAGTCTTTACGGTGCTATTATAGGTAGTTTTCTTGCCCCCCTTTGCTGGATCATGGATGACATGTTGCAAATGAATTATGAAATGATGATTTTTTTTTGACTTGGGATTAATAATCTCTTGAGTATTGCAGACAGGAAAACAAGGAAAATATGCATGTGTGTCTTTTTATATAGTCGGTAACAATATCACCGCTTATCGTGCCAAGTCCCCAATTCCGATTCCCAATCGACACTATTGGGTCTTTTCTCCCTTGTCGTATGCGGATAGTTGACCAATCGGCAGCGTCAGCGCAAGGGGGTTACACTACCCAGGAAATATGGCCACGAGGAAGGATTCACATGCTTGTCCACCGCCCACACGGGTGCCACAGCGTAATGAGAAACAGGAAAAGAACCATCTGATCAGGTGGGATATCAGCGTATTTTTGGCTGATGTGGGCGTATACGGAAGTACTGATTATTAACCAGTGTTAACCTATTCCGTAAACGTCATTTCGTAACTGCATGAAAGGAACTGAAAAGGAAGAAGAAGACAAGCGTATGAAGCTATTTTCCTTGGTTGTGGAGGGGGGGGGGGGGGGTTACGTGGAGTGTAGGTGTTTCCCTCCGAACGTGGGATGCGGCTGGGGGATTATTGATCCTCTCTCTCCGTCGGGGGCCACAGTCCAGACCCTTCCTCCCTCCTTTGTTCTATATAAATAAGGTGATCTCTGGACCCCTATTCTCCATACCTACACATTCTTCAATCCCTTTCAGTTTATCATCAATCAACCATGGCAGAAGAAAAAAAGTTTAGTGTCATCATCGTTGGTGCCGGTCCAGTAGGACTGACAGCAGCTCATGCTCTTTCAAAAGCGGGAATCGATTTCACTATACTCGAGAAGCGAGAGACGGTTGAAGAGGACATTGGAGCAACCATTATCCTCATGCCTCATGGACTTCGAGTTCTTTTTCAGCTTGGTTTGGAGGAGACACTACGAGAAGAGGGTTCGGAATTTCAAAATGCTGCGTTTCAAACTATTGCAGATGCAAAGGTTACGAAATATACTTGTATGCCGCAGTTATTCAAGGACAAGTAAATCGCCACCCTACTTCCCTACCATTATTTATTATCAAAACTAATCCTGTTTCTGTCCAGTTTTGGAACCTACGCCCAAGTCTTCCCCCGAGCCAAACTCATCTCCCTCCTCTACAACTCCCTTCCAGGGTCCCATCGTTCTCGAATCCTCACAAACAAAAAAGTTTCCTCCATCATCACCAACCCCGATTCCTCTTCCGACATTTCAAACAGAGTAACAGTAACCTGTTCAGACGGAACCTCTTATTCTTCAACAATCATTATAGGCGCCGATGGAATCCACAGTCAAGTCAGACAAGCCATGTACTCTGAGCCATCACCCTTCAAAGCCAATTATCGAATCCTATGGTTCAGTATCCCCCGTCCGGACTCTATCCCCTCCACTTCAGGATTCGAAGCCCACGGCAAAGATTTTCTTTCTCAGTGTCTAAACACTAAAGAAGAGTCATTTATGATCGTATACCAGCGTATACCTTCTCATCTCAAGCCCCCGATAACTAAGCATGTAGTATATACCGAGAAAGATATTGAGGACTTGGCCAAAGAATGTGGGAGTACACCCTTGGGAGAATCAGGTTTGACTTTAAAGGATGTTTGGCACCAAAAACTTCGTCCTGCAGGTATGGCAAACCTTGAAGAAGGCGTCCTAAAGAAATGGAGCTGTGGAAAAGGAAAAATTGTTTTGGTAGGGGACGCGGCACATAAGATTACGCCTAATCAGGGATTGGGATTGAATGATGGAATTATGGATGTTGTTGGGTTGGTTAATGAGTTGCGGAAGGTAAAGGATGGGGAGGAGGAGGGGGAATTGCAAGAAGCATTTAATAGGTACCAGAATATAAGAGAAGGTTGGGCTATAAGGGATATGCAAACTTCTGGGTTTTCGTTGGAATTGGGTAGTTGGAAAAAAGGATGGTTGGTCTGGAGGGTTTTGACGGGGTTGATGGGAATACCGGGGGTGGAAGGGTTTTTGCTGGGAAGAATGTATAATGAGCTTTTTGCTGCTAGTGGATTGGTTTTGGAGGGGGAGGGGTGTGAGAGGGAGGAAGGGGAGTTTTTTGAGGGGAGGGTGAAGTGGGTTTATTCGATACCTAGGGGGGAAGGGAAAGGTGGAGATGAGTGAATGAATGTGTTTGATGATATTTTTGTGACCTTTTTGTTTAGATTTTATTTTATTTTTTGTTTTGTGGTGATTTGTTGATGTCTGTGGTATGGTAGTGATAGGTCTCTGCTCGCATGGATCTGTACACAAGACACTGTTTGGACAATTCGTGATTGTGACAATTTCTTTCCCATTAACACCAGATATAACTACAGACTTCATCCTCCCGTGTTGTCAAAACAAAAATATAAAACAGCAAAATACACCATGGAGAGAAAATGCGGGCAGTTAGCATGAAATGAAAATATGCATCATCTTCTTATATGCACAAATCAAGATAAGTAGTCAATGAGATATCTCCCAAGGCCCGTGTGGCGCAATTGGTTAGCGCGTCAGACTTTTAAGACACCACAAAAGTCGAATGAAATCTGAATGTTGCGAGTTCGAGTCTCGCCATGGGCGTATCTTTTTTTGTGGGGTTCGCTCCCTCAGTATTCTTTTGGCTGGCCGGTCCTCATGTCGAATTCGAATTTTATTTTTAGTAGTGAATATCTTTTTTTCAGTTTAAATATTGACTTGATTGATGACGTTTTCACTCGTGGATACAACAAAGGTGGGTGGAATAAAGCACAGACACCCACCCATGAGTAACCATCTCACAGCCAACACCAACCCCGCGATAACCTCATCTCATCGGCATCCATCCTCTACTGCCGCGTAAGCAACGCCACCAAACCCACCATAACCACACTTTCTTCCGATAACAAATCCCAAGCCGAGTCATTCCCCTTCCCTGCCCCCAATCCCTTTATCAGTCTCAGTTCTGGTGCCGGATTATGTCCTCGTAGTGCAGTGGTTAACACGCCTGGTGTTTATTTTCATATCTCGGTGATAGCAAAAGCAGGGAAACGCCATGTTCGATTCTGGCCGTGGACAATTTTCTTTTCTTTTTTTGATATGGCATCATGAAGCTATTCCCAAAAAAGTTGACGCCAAAAACCAACTGCCGTGTCGAATCTCGATAAGATCTGCGAGATTGTCCAATCAAAAAGATGGGATCCAAATTAAGCAACATGAAGATCGACTAGTTCGATAGATTTAGGGTATATAACGCCATTCAAGGTGGCTTTTTACCCCCACGATCACGACATGATCTGGACCTGAAATTTCCCATATGCATGCATCCGTCCACACATTTCCGTGTGTTCGGACAAATATCAGCGAGGATTCCATCTTTAACTTGGCGATCGGCAAGCACGTTTTGCAGCCGGGTTCCTCGATTAGGATTGAATTGGGGTCTGGGCTGGGAATGCTTGACCTGACTTCGCGTTCTCATCGGACGAAGTGGATGTTGAGTCGATGAATACAGAGTTGTAGTGGTGGCCGTAATTTGCTCACAAAGTTGTGAGTCGTTACGCTATGCAGTCTTGCTCAGAATGTGCTGAAGCTGGGAGAAAATCTGGCTCAAACATCACAATCCCCCATCAAGCCTCAAAGTGTTCTGCAAATCTGCCGGTCCATCATCCGTATGCCCCTGACAATCCAAACTAGACAATGAGACATGCAACCACTAGCAGAGCCCACGTTCTCAGCCATCTTTTCCAGCTCGACGATCACCAGACACAGGTTTGTCAATAAAAGAGTTGATCACTGCCTACCTCAGCTAGACTCTCTCAGCCCGTTCAGACCAACGCTGCCGTCACTTTGACCACGATCGTGGGGGATTGAGTCTTCACACCAACTTTGGCTTCATGACAGCTTTAAATCTCTGTATGGCATCATATTGTTCATCGAGCACGACAAGTTGACTATCGACGAGAAGGATGGTGATTATGGTGATCTGAAGACGTCAGTTTGGTGGATATCAATGTATAAATATAGGAGAAACCTGCTCATTCTTGTCTTCAGTCTCAGATCAAAATCATCATCTTCACATCATCTCCAAACACTCTAATCACCTAAACAACAGACGAAATGCGTTCCAGCCTCTTAGGTTTCGCCCTCTTAGGCCACTTTGTCTCTCACCTGGCATCTGCCTCTCCCGTCTCCGCCAACACCGAGAAGCGTAACCCCATCCTCTCCGGAATCGGGATCACTCTTCCCCCTCTGATCCCTTCCATCCCCGGAGTCACTGTCCCCCTCGCCAACAACGCCCCTCCTCTCCCCATCCTCCAACTCCCAACTCCTCCTCTCCCCAGCGAGCCCTTCGAGCTTTCCAACGTCCGCCCCAAGAAAATCGGTTACTTCTGGACCGGAGCCGGCGACAACAAGCACGCAGACTTCCTCGCCACAGTCTCTCTTGACGACGACACCTTTGGTTCCATCATCGCCCTAACCGAAGTCCCCACCTCAGGCAACTCCCCCCATCACCTCGGAACCTCCCTCGACGGCAAACAGCTCGTCGGCGGCGGCCTGCTCAGCCTCCTCAAAACCCAAGACACCGCTTTTTACTTTGACACGACTGACCCCTACTCCCCCAAATTCACTCATAGCAACCGCGCCCTCCTCAGCTCCATCGTCGACGAAATCCGTGCCAAACCCGGAGGAGGCTTCTACATCACCTACATGGGTTCCGCCGTCGGCACCAGTCCCGGCCGTCTAGTCGAAACAGATCCTCAAGGCAACATCATCCACGAATGGCCCGAAGACGTCCCCAGCGTTCTCAACATCCTCGGCGAACAATTCTCCCCTCACGGCCTAGCAGTAGATTTCGACAAGAAAATCGCCCTAACCTCCGATTTCGTCGTGCCCCTAACAGTCCTTAAACCAACCCTCGGCATACAAAAAGCAAACACCCTTCGTTTATTCGATTTAACCTCTCATAAAATTCTATCAACTATAACAATCCCAAACGGCCAAGGAATCCAAGACGTCAAATTCATCCCCGGAAACCCCGAAACCGCTGCTTTGGCAACAGCAGTCGGTCTAGGTCAAGTATGGATCATTTATCCATTCCGTCATAACCCCCTCACGGGCAAACAAGGCGTTACTTCTCTTCTCTTTGATTTCGGCGCCAAAGCCAAAAACGACTTGGCAATTTACTCTGATATCTCCTCAGACGGTAAACTGGCTTATTTCACTTTTACTCTCGGGAACCACGTAGCCGCTTTGGACATTTCAGACCTAAACAACGTCAAGAGACTCGATGATCCAAACGAAACTCAACCAATCATTGGTCCTCATTACGTCAAGATTTCTCCAGATAAAAAGAATCTGTTGGTGACGGGGTATTTTGTTCAAGCGGGGGATATCAGCGTGTTGAACACTCCGGGGGATTACAAGGCGCATTGGATTGATATCCTGCCGAATGGAGGATTGAGCTTTAATAGGACTGTGGATTTTGAGAGCGTCTTTACAAGGACTAGGGGAGGGGCCAGGCCGCATTCGGTTGTTATTTTTGATTTGACTGATCCTGCCAATCCAAAGTATTATTGAAGGGGGAGAGGGGCAAACTGTGGGAGGGTAACTGAATGATGGGGTGAAGGAGCGGGCTATGGGGTTTGCAAGTGATCGGGGTGGATTGGTGTTCTGTTCGTTTCTTTTCGCGTTGTTTAATTTGTGTTATTTTGATAAGGTATTCTGTTTGGTGCGAGTAAATTTAGTTGCCGGTAATATGTCATCAATATTTGGTAAAGATTGGGTCTTCTTGAAAATATTCAAAAGCATATATTTAGTCCTATACCAAATCGCTAAATTATAAGTAACAATTCTCCCCCGCAACCAAGCCAGCTAAATGTACTGTTAGCCTTGTTAAAAGTGTGACCTCGATAATCCCTCGAGCCCGGTAGGAATTTCCCAGCCTAGCCCGAATGTTGTCCGAGTTCTTCCCTCGAGCGCGGCACGAATAGTATCCTAGCCTAACGTAAATGTTATCCGAGTCTGGCGCAACTGGGCCGTATCCAGCTTGTATTAAAGAGTATAAAAAAAGATTTATCTGTGTGATTGCCATTCGCGGCCCGCGGCCCAGCTGGGAAACGGCCCCAAACAGACGACGGCAAGGACTGTAGAGGACTGCACAAACATCATCAATCTCATCGACGGTCAACACAATAATGAATATTTCTCAAGAGGCAAAAAGTGCCTGATACGAACCATCCAAGTCTTCGAATCCCCTCAACATAAAAAGAGATCCCGCCTGTCTTGGCATTCTGTCTCCAAAACGACTGCACATTGCCAGAGCACGCAATCATTTCTTTGTTAGCATTGATGCCCTTCATTTCAAGGAATGACCAAAAAGTATCTCAAAACACAAACTCCATCTTGAACAACTTGATTACAAACCACTTGACGATATCGTCCCCCGCGTGATCAATTCATCATATACAAAATGTCTTATCTCCGAGTTGCATATTTCATTCCGCAACTTGATATCAAAAAGTGCACACTACAAAAAGCACGGAAATAAGAAACTTGATCCAAAATGGCGTGCTTGCCTTGGTCCTACTCTAACGAGTGTGCTGGGCACTCGTTGTGCGGATCACGCAATCCACTCCAAGTCTAACATAATACCCCTTCCAGCCAGTCCAAACACACTGTCATCCACCCTTTTGACGACGTCGTTTCAACGTGGTTGCCGCTTACGGTGCCGCGACCTCGTATCGAGAGAGCGATTGCGCTTATCCGTTGGAACGGATTGGCTCCGCCTCTATGCTGCCATGCAGATGAAAGACCCGGATCGGCGAATGGTCGCCGCTTTGAATGGAAAGCCGGCATCAACGGCAAGCTCCTTGATTGGGGCAGAACAATTGCACGCAATCCCGGGATGCTATTGCTATGCCATCTGGGGACCCCGCAATTTGGTAGCGGGAATGATGTCGTGATCTTGGGGAAGCTTATAAGTCGTGCCGAAGGACCTTGAGTTCACGGCTGTCATTCTGTCAGATCAAAGAGTTAAAACCAAAAGTCCAGCAATCAGAAACACACCTTATTAAAATGGCACCTTCCGCAATCGAAGTTGAGACCGTCACGGTCCCCGATGTTAGCAAGCTCAAGCTCGCTGCCATTGCCGGGCCTTATAAGGAGATCGCTCCGACCAAGTATGACAAGGATGCCGAGTTGACTGGTGTGGAAGGACACGCTGCTGCAAAGGTAGGAAGAAATGAAGCCGCGAGGGTGAAGCTACAACACGCCTGCTGACTGTTAAATGCTCAGTATCCTCATTACCTCCCAACCTGGGACCGCGAACAAAAGTTCCCACCTCTCGAGCCCTTTGAACATTACGAGCATGGCAAGGATGCCGACACCACATTCCCTAACCTTCTTCCCGAGGGCACAACTGTCACACATTTGACCCCCACAATCGGCACCGAGGTGACTGGCATCCAGCTCAGCAAACTCAGCAACGCAGGCAAAGACGAGCTGGCCAGGTTGGTTGCTGAGCGCAAGGTTGTTGCTTTCCGTAATCAGGACTTTGCGGATCTCTCCATCAAGGATGCGCTCGAGTATGGCTCATACTTTGGCCGGTGAGTGTGACCATTTACTCAAAGACTGCCGTTGAACTTGTAACTAACAGCAATGATATCAGCCACCACATCCACCCGACGTCCGGTGCCCCTGAGGGATACCCAGAGGTCCACCTCGTCCACCGCGGTGCTGGTGACAACAGCGTTGACAAGTTCTTTGCCAACCGCACTTCTTCCGTTGCGTGGCATTCCGATGTCTCGTACGAGCAGCAGCCTCCCGGAACCACCTTCCTGTACATATTTGACAAGCCCGAGACTGGCGGCGACACCCTTTTCGTTGACGCCGTCGAGGCCTACAACCGTCTCAGCCCTCTTTTCCAAGAGCGTCTCCACGGCCTCAAGGCAACTCACTCTGGCGTTGAGCAAGCCAACTCTTCGATTGCTCGCGGAGGCATCGTAAGGAGGGAGCCTGTCATCAACGAGCACCCCATCATCCGGACACATCCCGCAACGGGCGAGAAGGCAATTTACGTC